TCAAAAACAATTGCAAAAGATAAAAAATGATACTATATATTAATGGAAGGATCAATTCACCAAGAAGATACGATAATCATAAACATATAGGCAATAAACTTCAGAGCCCCAAAATGCATGAAGCAAACATTGACAGAATTTAAAGAAGTGTCCAGTTCTACAGCAATAGCTGGAGAATTTAATATACCACTTTCAATAATGAGCAGAAAAACCAGACAGAAGATCAATCAGAGAATAGAGGACTTGAACAACACCATAAATTAATTGGACCTAGCAGACATATACAGGAAACTCCATCCAATGGCAGGATAACACACATTTCTCTGAAGTGCACATGGAACATTCTCAAGGATGGACCAGAAGATAAGTATTAACTAACTTTAAAAGACAGAAATTATACAAAGCATCTTATCAAGTCACATGAAAGGAATTAACAGAAGGAAAACTTTTAAAAAATCACAAATTTTTCCAATGTTTGAAAAATCAAACAACATACTCTTAACTAAAAAAGAAGACACCACAAGGAAATTTAGAAATTATCTTGAGACAAATGAAATAAAAAACACAACATATTAAAACTTATAGATTGTAGCAAACACAGTGCTAAGAAGGTAATTTACACATATACTGTCTTAGCCTATTCAGGCTGCTATAACAAAATGCCATACACTGGGTGGGTTATAAACAATAGATATTATCTCTTAGAGCTCTGGAGGCTGGGAATCCAAGATCAAGTCACCAACGAACTTGGTGTCCGGTGAGGGTTTATAGACAGCTGTCTTCTTGATGTGGCCTCACATGGAGAATGGGACTCTTCTGGAGAACCCTACCGAAGTTGCTTTTTAAAGAGCACTAATATCACTAATCATCAAGGAAATGCAAGTTAAAATCACAATGAGATATCACCTTACTCCTGCAAAAATTGCCATAGTTGAAAAATCAGAAAACAATAGATTTTGGCATGGTTGTGGGAACACTTTAACACTGCTGGTGGGAACGTAAATTAGTATAGCTGCTATGGAAAACAGTATAGAGATTCCTTTAAGAACTAAAGGGAGAACTACCATTCAATCCAGCAATCCCACTATTGGGTATCTACCCAAAGAAAAAGTCATTATATGAAAAAGACACATGCACATGCATGTTTATAGCACAATTTGCAATTGCAAAGATATGGAACCAACCAAAGTGCCCATCAACCAACGAGTGGATACAGAAAATGTTGTATATATACAACATGGGATACTACTCAGCCACGAAAAGCGGTGAAATAATGTCTTTTGTGGCAACTTGGAAGGAACTGGAGGCCATTATTCTAAGTGAAGTAACTCAAGAATGGAAAACAAAATATCGTATGTTCTCACTTGTAAGTGGGAGCTAAACTATGAAGGCACAAAGGCAAAGAATGATATAATGGACTTTGGGGACTAGAGGGGAAGGTTGGCAGGGGGGTGAGGGATAAAAGACCACACTGTTCAGGTGATGGATGCACTAAAATTTCAGAAATCACCACTAAAGAACTTATCTATGTAGCCAACAACCACTTGTACCACCAAAACTACTAAAATAAAAAATAAAAAGGGAACTAACACCATTCATGAGGACTCCATGCTCGTGATATAATCATCTCCAAATATTACATTGGGGGTTAGGATTTCAACATATGAATTTGGGGGAGACACAAACATTCAGTCTTTAGCACACATGTTAAAAAAGAAGATCTCAAACCGAAAACCTTACACTTTAAGGAACCAGAACAAGGACAACAAACTAAACCCAACCACAGCAGAAGCAGGAAATAAAGATTAGAGTTCATATAAATAAAATGGCAAATAGAAAAACAACAAAGAAAACTTAATCAAAAGTTATTTCTTTTGAAGAGATGACAAGTCTTCAGCTAGATTGATTAATAAAAAAGTGAAGATTAAAATTACTAATGTTTTACAGAAATGAAAAGAATTATAAGAGAATACTATGAACAATTGTATGCTAAAAGGTTTGATAACCTAGATAAAATGGAAAAACTGCTGGAAACACACAATCTACCAAAAACATGAATCACAAAGAAATAGAACTCTGAATACATCTGTAACTCATAAGGAGGTAAAATTAGTAAACAAAACCCTCCAACAGAGAAAAGGCCTAGGCCAGATGGCTTCACTGATGAGTTCTGACAAGTATTTAAAGAAGAATTAAGACCAATCCTCTTCCAACTCTTTTAAAAAATTAAAGAAAAGGAAAAATTTTATAAGTAAATCTATGAGGCCAGCATTACCCTGACACCAAAGCCAGACAAACACTGCAAGAGAAGAAAACTACAGACCAATAACTCTTATGAATACTGATGCAAAAATTTCAGCAAAACACTAGCGAACCAAATCCAGAAACATATTAAAAGGATTATACATCATGACCAAGTGGGATTTATTCCTGTTTCAACATACAAAACTCAACAAATATAATAAACTACATTAATAGGATGAAAAGAAAATAACCACATGGTTTTCTCTCAATTGAGACAGAGAAAGCACTTGAGAAAACTCAATACCCTTTCATGGTAAAAACACTAAATAAACGAGGAAACTTCCTCAACATGATGAGGCCACGTATAAAAAATCGGCAGCTAATATTATTCTCAATGGTGAAAATTGGAAAGATTTTCTAAGACCAAAAACACAAGGATGCCTGCTTTCACCACTTCTGTTCTACATAGTCCTGGAAGTTCTAGCCAAATCAATTAGGCAAGAAAGAGAAATAAGAGGCATCTGAATTGGAAAGATGAAGTAAAATTATCTCTGTATGCAGATGGCATGACCATATATAGAAAACCCTAAGAATTTTACACACTCAAAAAAAAGGTTAAAGCTAATAAATAAATTCAGTAAAGTTGTAAAAAACAGAATCCATACACACACAAAAACTCAACTGTGTTTCTGTGCACTAAAAATTAAAACTCCAAAAAGGAAACTAAGAAAGCAATTCTATTTACAGTAGCACCAAAAAGAATACAAGACAGTAGTGCTAGTAATAAATTTAATCAGGGAGGCAAAAGACTTGTACCCTGAAAACTACAAAACGTTGCTACAGAAAATTAAAGAACAGATAAGCAAATGAAAAGACATATGATACTCATTTATTGGAGACTTAATATTGGATGACAATACTGCCTAAAGCTATCTACAGATTCAACACAATTCCTACCAAAATCCCAATGGCTTTTTTGTTGTTGTTGCAGAACTAGAAATACCTATCCTAAAATGCGTAGAGAATCTCAAAGGACCCCAAACAGTCAAAACAATCTTTAAAAAGGTGAATAAAGGCCAGGCGTGGTGACTCACATCTATAATTCCAGCACTTTGGGAAGCCTAAGGCAGGTGAATTGCTGGAGGCCAGGAGTTCAAGACCAGCCTGGGCAATATGGAGAAACCTGTCTCTACTAAAAATACAAAATTAGCCAGTCTCATAATCTGGTCTCAAAAAAATAAGTAAATAAAAAATTTTAAAAAAGGATAATAAAGTTGGAAAACTCACACTGATCTCAAAACTTACTACAAAACTACAGTAATAAAAACTGTGTGGTATTGGCATAAAGATAGACAGACCATTGCAATAGAATAGAGAGTCCTGAAAGAAACTCTCCCATATATCGTCAATTGATTTAAGTATACGTGCCAAAACCAGTCCATGGAGAAAAGTCAGTCGTCAACAAATAGTGTTGGGAAACTTCAATGTCCACTTGCAAAATAATGAAGTTACCTTACAACACATACAAAAGTTAACTCAAAATGGATAAAAAATTTTCTAGTGGGAATGTAAAATGGTGGAGCCATTGTGAAAGTGATTTGGTAATTTTTTTCAGAAAGTTCAGCATAGAATTACCGTGGAACCCAGCAATTCCACATCTAGGTCTATACTCCCAAGAAATGGAAGAAGGAACTTGAACAGATACTTAAACAATAGCGTTCATAGCAGCAATACTCTCAATAAGCAAAATATGGAAATAACCAAAATGCCCATTAGGAGACGACTGGTTACACAAAATGTATTGTATACATACAGTGGACTTTTATTCAGACTTATAGGGGAATGATATTTTGTTACATGCTAAGACATAGATGAAACTTGAAAACGTTATTGCTAAGTGAAATAAGCCAGACGCAAAAGGGCAAATGATGTATAATTTCACTTATATGAGGAACCTAAAATAGGCAAATTCATATATTTTAAAAAGTAGGTTAGAGGTTATCACATACTGGAGACTGGGGCAGTGAGATGCTGTTTATTGAGCAGAATTTCTGTTTAGGATGGTAAACATTTTCTGAAGATGGGTAATCGTGACGGCTGTACAACACTGTGACTTTATTTGATACTACTGAATTGTACACTCAAAAATGGTGAAAAGAGTAATTTTATGTTATATTTTACGTAAATAAAATATAAAGTAAAAAATAAAATATCTGTTCAAGTTCCTGCTTCCACTTCTTGGGAGTATATAGCCTTAGAAGTAGAATTGTTGGGTCTCATGGTAATTCTGTAATACTTTTATATAAATAACAAGGGATAAAAACCCAAAGAAGTCTCAATGGAGGAACCCTAACATTTCATGGACATGTAGGTGTGGGTATATGTTAGGACACCTTTGGAAAATAAAATATGTCATGCTCAATCAAAAAAAAAAAAACTAGTTGGGTGCAATAGCTCATGCTTGTAATCCCAGAACTTTGGGAGGCTGAGGCAGGGGGTTTACTTGTGCCCAGGAGTTTGAAACTAGTCTGGGCAACATAGTGAGACCTTATCTCTACAAAAAATCAAAAAATTAACTGGACATAGTGGTACCTGCCCGTGGTCCCAGCTAATTGGGAGGCTGAGCTGGGAATATCACTTGAGTTCAGGAGGTCCAGGCTACTGTGAACTTTAATCATACTCCTGCACTCCATCTCGGGTGACAGAGCAAGACCTTGTTTTTTTTTTTTTTTTTCCTCTAAATATTGCTTTGGATTATCTTCATTTCAGTTCAACCATAATCTCTGGTTGGATTCAAGTACTACTATTTAAAAAAATCTCCTGGAATGATTGTAATATGCAGATATATATCTGTGGTTCTCAAAGTTGCCTGGACATTGTATAATATATATGTGTTACCCTATGTTTAATTTTTCTTCCTCTTTCTTTCTTTCTTTTTCTTTCTTTCTTTATGGTGTCTAGCTCTGTCGCTCAGGCTGGAGTGCAGTGGTGCAATCTTGACTCACTGCAACCTCTGCCTCCCAGGTTCAAGTGATTCTCCTGCCTCAGCCTCCCAAGTAACTGGGAGTACAGGTGCGTACCACCATGCCTAGCTAATCTTTTGTATTTTTAGTAGAGATGGGGTTTCACTGTGTCACCTAGGCTGGTCTTGAACTCCTGACCTTGTGATCCACCCACCTAGGCCTCCCAAAGTGCTGGGATTACAAGCGTGAGCCATCCCGCCTGGCCTAATTTTTCTTTTATCCAACCTTTAAGTTATGCTGCTGAGAATTAAGGCTAATTAAGGCCTATATGTTCCCCTTTGGTCAACAGTATCACAAAGGAACCATCGCTGCCTTGAAACCACAGTGTGAGGATGGCAGTGACACCAGGACAGCTGCCAGTGAAGTGTCTTTGGAGAAAGGAGATGAAGTCTGAAATCAATTTCAGGGTCTGGTCATCCTTCCATGGCCAATATTGGAAGCTAAGATTTTCCTCTTTGTGGCCATTCCTATCCTGGGAGGGCCATTGCTTATTTGATCAGGACTTTCAGCAGGTTTCCTTATAATCCATCTCAGTTTTCTACAATCTCTGGGTTACTAATTTTTTAAAATACTAAACCTACTATGTATTTGATGTGCAGAGGAAGTGTGATGCTTTTTATCTACAGCTTTTCTCTCTGTAAATTGGATAATAGAGTTCCCTGGAGGCTCAGTGAGGATAAGTGATTTGTTTACACTATGTTGTTGGTAAGTGAGATGATATTATTTGAATCCAGTCAAAGCCTATATTCTTGACTACAGTAGATCATTGGAACGGAAGCCTGATGGTTCTGAAGCCAGTCTTCATTCTACTCCGTCAGCCCAAAAGTCCCAGGTGGGCTAGGACAGGAAAGGTTGGGGAAATGCACTGCGAGCTTCGAGTTGAATGAAAACTCATTCATTTCATTGAGTTGGAGCAAATTAAAGAAGACTTGAAGAAGCCTCACGATGCAGAGCTCCCTGTCGGGATCCTTGGGATCATGATGGTGGCAGATGGGGGGTCATTACCTCATAGCACATGAAGAGGGTTACAGGCCTGGCAGGTTTGATTCTGATGCCAATGTTTCCTTCTGTGTTGGGTGGCAGGATGCTGCCCTTGTCATCAATGACCTGTAGCAAGAGGCCTGTGAATCGTACCCTGCAGGAGACCCCAGCCCTTCTGTCCCACCCAAGCACTGTCTGGCTTACGCATGGAACACCAGTGTGGATAAAATAATGGAAGAAACATCAGAAAATGGAATAAAACTGTCAAAAGCCTTTAAAATACGCAAATGTGAAACTCAAGCCAAGGGTCTATGTTTTATGGGTTAGTAGATGTCACCAATGTGTCTTCAAGTTGGAAAACACTGATCAAGAAGAATGAAAAGCACCAGTTGCTAGAGAGGGCTGCCAGTGCAGCTTCTAGGTATTCTTTCCTACCCACTATGTGTGATGCCCTAGCTGCTAGGGTGAGTGGTGTTCATGCCTACAATAATGCAGTTTTCAACTGAGACCTCCATAGGAAACTGAAGGGAAAAATGAGAAGACAGGAGGAAGGATGACTGGGGCAGAGAAGTGTGGCTGGTGTTGTCACCTGGTGTCAAATTGTCCAACCCCCACTGAGCCCTAACTGCTCCCTGCCAATGCCCTTAGGACCAGACCTGGACGTCGTAGGGTGGACTGGCCTTCCCCAGGAAACCCGGCTTGATCTTCATTTCCCGGAGGGTGGCACAAATTATTCCCTGTTCACAAAAGAAAGAAGATTGGGGTTGATCAGAGAGGTCAGGCTGATCACAAAGCAGCCAGAATCATACACAGCATCCCCTGCTCAGAGATGTAGTATTCCGCTCAATGGATGCTGCACAAAGAACCCTTGTAGGGAAGCTGGAAGGCCCGGGTCTAGGCTCAAGGTATTGACCCAACTCTATTCCACAGTCATTTTCTGCAACCAGTGTGGTCTGGCTCTGTACTAAGTGCAGAGTCTACAGAATCCAATGGGGAAGCAAAGAAAGAGGAAACAGGGTATTCCCCTGGCTGTGGGCGTATAATGTGGGGCATGCCCACCATTGAACAGGCATGTGTCAGTTTGCTATGGGAAGGCCACTAGTCTATGTAACAAACATTTACGTGCGGCTGTTAAGTAGTGATAGGGATTCTGCCACAACTTCTTGACTGATCCTGATGCCAACTTTTCCTTCTGTGCTGGGTGGCAGGATGTTGCCTTTGTCATCAGTGACCTGTAGGAAGAGGCCTGTGAATCTCACCCTGCAGGATGCCTCAGTGTGTGTGGAGGTTGTCTGGATTGCTTGTGCTGTTCTCTCTGTTAGCACTGCCCTATCTTCATCTGTCTTCCTGATGAACTTGATTCCTCCTTTATTGTTCTCACAAATATATTTATTTCTATAGCTGCATGCTTTACATTCAGACCAATGAGGGTTTGAATCTTGACTCCACCACACACTAACTGCATGCCAATTAATCCCTCTTGATCTCCTCTTGATCTCCTCCGTCAAAGGGCAATAATGATAACACTTACCTCCCAGAGTGCTTGTAAGCATATGGAAAATTCTGCATAATACAAGGCACACACCATGTGTTCAATGAATGATGACTACTGGCTATTACTCAAGCTCCAAGAGGAGTCAAGGGAAAGATTCTCTTTCTGAAGCATTTCTCCCATACTTCCATTGCAGCCCACAGGGCATTATAATTATTTTTGCTTGTCTGTTTCCTTCAGTAGATAATGAGCATCCCAAGAATAGAGATTGCCCTATTCATCCCTGAGCTTCCAACATCTGGAATAATACCCATCAAAAATAGCAAGGACCACAGCAGCTGCAATGTGAGCATATACTACAGGTTAGACACCAGCCAGAGCATTATATACTTCTTTTTATATACCTTATCACAATCTGTTAAGATTGGCACTATAATCTCCATTTAAAGGTGGGGGAGCTGAGGTGAGAAAGCATACATAGTATCCTGATGGTCTTAAAGCTATAATTGGCAGAGCTGAGACTTGGACCCAGGTCTGTGCTCCTGGGATAGGAAGATCTTTGCCCACTGCCACATCACTGCTCACACTGTAGGCATGTGAAAAACGTTGCACACATGAGTGAACAGATGTGCAAGTGTTTTGAGAAATTAAGCACCATCTAGTGCTGCAAATATTGGAGTCATGGATGTAGTGTGTTGTCCTGGCCCACCATCCTCCTTGTCCAAATATGACCCGTGAGTCATTCAAACATAGGCCCAAAGTGTCACCATTTTTCAGGTCTGGAAGCAGACAAATTAACTATTGCTATTATACTTTTTTGCAAAATAATGTCAGTTGAGTATGTGAGTTGGCACCAAAATAATAATTTTGCACAGGGCCTGGGATAGCAGTCATCCTCTATGTGCTAGAGGGATAATGGAGGCAGAGGGGGAAAGTGGCTCTGTCCAACATTGGAAATGGATTGCAAATGTGTTGGAAGAGATGCTCACCCACGCTGTAACTGATGAGGTTCTTGAACTTCCAGACACGCATAATACTCTAAATGTCCCACCCACCTGGCAGCTCAGTGATACTCTGGAATGACACTGTTTGTGTGTATATGTGTTTGGTATATACAGAAAGTATCTGCTCCCTTATCCACCCTGCTAGTATTGCACAGTTAAACCTGTGAGTTGTCCTCCTGAACACCAAGCAATGAACTTTTGGAGCCAGCTTCCACTTGCCTTTGCAGCCCTAGCGAGGGTTAGTGGAGCTGACAGTACTTGCTGGAGGAGGTGGTCTCCATGTTGCTGGAGTGAGTCTCCTATCCCACCCACCTTCTGGGGCTCCTCTGAGCTGATGACCACAGGGACAGTGTTAGTTAAAACAGCCTTAGACACCTTTTTAAGGTTTTGTCCAAGAGTTTTCAGCACATTGGTCCCGTGGTAAGATGATGAGTTGTACATTTTCTTTCTGCAGATAGATTTGGGACAAATTAGCTTAGAACTCTAGAGCCTCCGGTTGGCATCAAACAGTGCTGTGCATGCGATGGGGCTGTGTCCCGCACATGTGGCATAATTCAGCACATGTGCTGCGCTCAGTCGCTGAGCATATCATGACTATCTAGAAGGGACCTGTCCACTTTGAAAGGAAAACGAATCCCAGGACCCCAAAATCACTAAGTCAAAGGGAAAACTCAAGTTGGGAACTGCATCAGTTGAAACTGCCTCCCATTTTATTCCTAAATAAGAGCTAAAAAGATAAAAAACAAAACAAAACCACATGCCTCCCCTGCAATTTTCCCACTAAGAAATTCCTTGTGGGCCCCAAAGATCATTACTGTAAAACAGTTCTGTTAAATTTCACCCTGACATTGATAGCTCAACTTCACAGGTATCGGACAAAGAACAGAACTCAAAATCATCCCTCTGCTCTCCTGAGACAAATGCATACCCAGTTGCTTTCTCTGACTTATGTTTATCTTATGTAAAAATGCAGATTCACTGATCTAGGTGAATGCACAAGTGACTCTTCCTCTACCCTTCTCTCACATGTAAAGAGCTGATCAAAGACTCCCAAGAATGCAACCATTTGCCTCATATCTACTCACACCTTTAAAAAATTTCTTCTTTTTCCTCCAATATCTGCCCTTTCCCCTTTAAATATTGAAGCCCTCAAAATCATCTTTGGAGAAAGGCACAAACCTGTTTCCCAGGCACGGTCCTTAACCTTGGCAAAATAAACTTTTAAATTAATTGAGACCTGTCTCAGATACTTCCTGGTTTGCACCACCTACCGTTTCTGACTGCCCATAGACGTTGTAGAGCAGAAGGCCTGTCCGTCTTTTCCACTCCTCCTGATCCTTGGGCCACAGGACCTCCCCACCAGTACAGCAGTGCTCCAGGGCAGGGAACCTGATACTTAGAGGAAGACAGGGTGCCAGGCATTGGTGAGCCACCCCAGCTCTGTGCATTCAGAGCTCTTAGGTCTGTCACTCAGATCATTCATCCTTCTAGTTCCTCACTTTCTTATTTGCCTTTTGGTCATTTTACAGATGACCATCGCCAAATGGACGTCACTCACTTCCTGCAGTCCCTGTGAACTATTCTGGCAGCGAGGGGTTGGGTGGTGGTGAGGCTATTGTGTTCAATTTGGAATGTTTGGATTAAATTTGAATATTAGTGTAACAAGAGGGAGAACTGTGTGTTTATCAGAACTCATCTTGGGGAAGCATTCTGTATAGCTAAGAAGGACATTTTTATAATCATAATGGGGTAAAGGATGAGATCTTAAGGACATGCTAGGGTGATAATAGAACCATATATTCTTTTATGGAGCCTACACTGTGCTAACTAAAGGGCTTTTGTATTTCTGAATGGGGAATGCATGTTAGGGGTTGGAAATGAATTGCTCAGGACATCAGAGCAGATTGAGCTGAGTGTAGGGAAAGAGACAGAGAGAAGTGTTACAGAGAACAGCCCTGACAGAAGAAATTTCAGAAAAAAAGAGAAAAGGCTGATGTGAACAGAAAAAATTAAAATATTTTACCCCAAAATATATTTCTTTGACATATTTTGAAATGGCTGCCACTTGGCTAGCAAATAGAGGTGCCCTTGCAAAGCCATCTTTTATGGGGGAAAAGGTACATCTGTAGAGAATATCTATTAATGCAGCAATGCCCTGCCCTCTTTCTGTTGGGAAAAAGCTGAATGTTGGGAAGAAAGCAGAGGCAGGACTTGCATGTCTGACATAATGTCCTCTGGAATGTGTCTAGACTTGCTGGCTCCTTGCTTCTAGCCTTCCTAGGCTCCTAGATTGATTGTATTCCCATTATCTCAAGTAGCAAAGCATATTCCTTATAAATTCTAAACCATCACAACTGTAGATCATGCACCTGCCCTTTGACTTCCACATTCTCACCACCTGTTTCTTTGTTGGATTACCACTAAATAGCATGGGCTCCCAGGGCTTGGGGCCTTCACAGCCTCCACAGTCACAATGGCCCCCTGGTCCCACTTTACTTCTCAAACTGTCTTTTTCTCAGTCCTTTGACACTGTCGGACTTCGTTGCCCCCACAACCTGGTGTTGGGCCTGATCACCCCAACATTCCTGGCTGCCCAACATGGGGCAATGAAGACCCTGGTGAAGAAATGCTAGAGCACGTGAAATAGGAGGACGCATCATCAAAGGACACCCAAGGACGTCTAAAAGAAACTCGGCAGGAAAGCTGAGGGCTCAGAAGAACCAGTGTAACAATGGGACAAAGTGAAAGCAGACATTCTGCCTATTTAAATTTCTCAAGGCATTTATTACAAAGAGGGGGAGTGAAAGTCAGTACTCAGAATTTGTTATCACTCTTTAGTGCAGTAAAGCAGTTTTGTCCATGGTTCCCAGAACGAGGGACTATGGAGTTGGATGAATGGGAGAGAATTGGCAGAGATTTTTAAAAAATATATAAAGATGGAGCAAAAATTCCAGTCTCGGTTTAGTCATTGTAGGTGCTAATAAAAGCAGCTCTTGAATCATTTCAAACAGATGATAAGGCAGATTCAGATGAGGAAGAGGAGGACAAGTGTAAAAAACTAACCTCAGATTCTGAATGTGAGGAACAGGAAATGGAGGAAATTAAAGAAAAGAAAGAGAAACTGAAAAAAGTATGTTTTACTAGCCCATCGGCTCCACCTGCTGAATTAAGTGAAGGGCCACCTCCTCTCTCTCCTCTTAATGGGTGAGAAGATGAAGTAGCTACAACACTTACTGCTCCTGTAGTTGCAACATTAAAACCTGGAGCAATTGGTGGTGCTATACAAAATTCTATTCAAAAGGCTAGAGCCAAGGGAGACCTTGAAGCATGGCAATTTCCTATAACTATAATCCAGCAGGGAGGACAGAATATAGCTAATTGGACCACCTTTCCTTTTAAGATTTCTCCTCTCCAATTTCTACCCAGCTTAACCCCACTGCAATACAATCTCCAAGCCTTGGATCCTTGTCCAGGGCCTTAGAACTGATAACCCAGTTCTTTAACAACTGGAACTGGGTCTATGACAACATAACAGATCAGGATGAAAACGAATTGAGTAAGTTAAAGGGAGGCACATATTCCTATAGTGGAAATGGGGGCAACGAGTGAACATCCTTCCACTGTATTTCCAAAATCCACCTACAAAGGAGAGAAAGAGAAAGAGATATAAGAGTAATTAAAGAAAAAGCAGTGTACCCTATTCCTTTAAAACCAGGATAAATTTAAGACCTATAATTGATAATTGAAGGTCTTCTCTGTGACCCTATAACACTCCAATACTACCTTGTTGTCAGTGTAAACAAGGGTGTAGTCCAAAAGCACATGACTTTGAGAGTTCTGCTCATGGCCCCAGGGTCAACCAACCTGTTGTTGGAACCCCGGAGCTGAATAGCTTTCCTCTCTGTCGACACTTGGCTCAGCCCAGAAGTACAGGAAAAGTGGAAGCTGGTTCCAGGCAAACTAACGTTCCCAACTCCGAAGAGTTGGGGGTTGTTAGAGAGCCCTTTCCCAGAAAGCCTGACACCTGTGTCTTTAGTCCAGCAGCCATGCCAGTTGCTTTTAACTGGCTGGCAGGTGCCTGATATTTAGCCCCCAAATTCTAAAGAAATATAGGACAGAATAGCAAGTAAAAGGGGTTCAATGGTGCTCACCACTTGGTGATAGGTGAGCACCTATCGTAGTATCGTAGTCACCAAAACGTGTCTGGAATTTATTTCTTCCAGTGGGTTCTTGGTCTTGCTGACTTCAAGAATGAAGCTGCGGACCCTTGCAGTGAGTGTTACAGCTCTTAAAGATGGTGTGTCTGGAGTTTGTTCCTTCAGATGTTCAGAAGTGTCCAGAGTTTCTTCCTTCCAGTGGGTTTGTGGTCTTGAGGACTTCAGGAGTGAAGCTGCAGACCTTTGCAGTGAGTGTTACAGCTCTTAAAGGTGGCGCATCTGGAGTTGTTTGTTCCTCCTGGTGGGTTCATGGTCTCACTGACTTCAGGAATGAAGCCACAGACCCTCGTGGTGAGTGTTACAGCTTATAAAGGTAGTGTGAACCCAAAGAGTGAGCAGCAGTAAGATTTACTGTGAAGAGCGAAAGCCCAAAGCTTCCACAGCATGGAAGGGGACCTGAGTGGGTTGCCTGGCTGGCTCTGGTAGCTTTTATTCCCTTATTTGGCCCTGCCCACATCCTGCTGATTGGTCCATTTTACAGAGCACTGATTTGTCCATTTTATAGAGTGCTGATTGGTGCATTTACAATCCTTTAGCTAGACACAGAGCACTAATTGGTGCACTTACAATCCTTTAGACACAAAATCCTTTAGACACAAAAGTTCTCCAAGTCCCCACCCAACCCAGAAGTCCAGCTGGGTTCACCTCTCAGGACCATTGCCAACCAGTAGCCTTCCTATCAAAAATCCTAACCCAGTAACCCATGGATGGCCCAACTGCATTCAGTCTGTAGCGGCAACTGCTTTCCTAGCAGAAGAAAGTAGACAAATAACTTTCTTTTAGAAGAAACCTCATTGTGAGCACACCTCACCAGTTCAGAGCTATCCTAAGAAAAAAAAGCAAAAATGTAGCTTACTAACTCAAAAATCTTAAAGTTTGGGGCTATTCTGTGAGGAAAAGGTGATTTAACATTAACCACTGAAAATTCCCTTAACCCAGCAGATTTCCTAACGAGGGAATTAAATCTTAATTACCATACAGAGGGCCGACCAGACCTAGCAGGAACTCCATTCAGGACAGGACAATAGATGGCTCCTCCCATGTGATTGAGGAAACACACACACACACACACACACACACAATGGGTATTCAGTAATTGATAGGGAAACTCTTGTAGAAGCAGAGTTAGAAAAATTGCCTAATAATTGGTCTGCTCAAACACGCAAGCTGTTTGCACTCCGTCAAGCCTTAAAGTACAGAACCAAGAAGGAACCATCTATACCAATTCTAATTTAATTTAGACTAAACAAGGTCTTATAGACAGCAAAGGATAATTGAAATTCCAAACTTACAAGGGTTTAAACAGAAGTAAAGTTTGCTAAAAGTTAACGGTGTAACATGCATTATCTTAGCTTCTAGTCTTGTGGCCTTAGACAGTTTAGTCCACAGACATAAAGGAAGTTCACTTCGGAAAAGTGGTTATCTTAAAAAAAAAAAAAAAACTCTATCTCAATCCTGACTCAAAAGGTTACCTACATCCTCTCTGAAATGAATTTGCATAAGGACGGTTGTTTATGGGAGTGCATCTTGATGGGTTAGCTGGGTTGTTATGAAATACTCAGGAACCTCGCCCAGCTCCAGAACTCACCTCTGAGTGCAAAGGCAATGTTGGGCATGCTGGTAAAGGACCACTAGAATCCAGCAGCCTGGACCCCTTTCTTTGTTGTCAAGAAAGGCAGGAAAACAGGTGCAGGACTGCTACATCGGTGAGCATGACTAATCTGATAAGCAGAGGTCCATGGGTGGTTATGCATCTTGGAAAGGAGTAAGTATTACGACCACAGAGGATGCTCTAGGACTAATGCTCATCGAAAATGACTAGGGGTGCTGTCATCCCTATGTTCTTTATTCAGTTGGGAAACTTTCCCACAAGGCAAAAACACCCCTAAGATGCATTCTGGAGAATTCGGGCCAGTCAGAGTGTATGTACCTTTTTCCCTCTCAGACTTGAAACAAATTAAAATAGACCTAGGTAAATTATCAGATAACCCTGATGGCTATATTGATGTTTTACAAGCGTTAGGACAATCCTTTGATCTGATATGGAGAGATATAATGTTACTGCTAAATGAGACACTAACTCCAAATGAGAGAAGTGCCTCCATAACTGTAGCCTGAGAGTTTGATATCTCTGGTATCTCAGTCAGGTCAATGATAGGATGACAACAGAGGAAAGAG